TGTGGTTTTTAAAAAAAAATATTTATCTTCGAATGAGCAGGGGGAGGGGCAGAGGGAGAGAGAATCTCAATCAGACTCCCCTCTGAGTGTGGAGCCTGACTTAGGGCTCAGTCGCACAACCCTGGGATCATGAGCTGAGCTGAAACCAAGAGTCGTTTAACCAGTTGAGCCACCCAGGTGTCCCATAATGCCTTGTTTTTACTTGAGTTTCATTATCAGTTTAGTAGTGTACTTGAAGCCGATAATACTGATGCCTTAACAGTTTGTTAAATAATAAGAGCGAAGGGGAGAGGGAAGTGAGAGATGGTATCGAAAGTGTGACAGGGCAGTGACTGTTCAGGAACAGACCCTTCTCAATTCAGTTTGAGAGAGCAGACCATGTGACTTTACAGGGGGAGACTACTTGAGACCTAGGGAATAAGTGCAAAGGCCCTGGGTTGGGATTGAACCAGGTGACCAGTGTATCTGGAGCAGAGTGAGCTAGGAGGAGAGAGCATGTGAGATCTAGGAGGTCAGAAGACCAGTATATGTTGGCCTTATAAGTTGTAGCAGGTTGACTTTTACTTGGAGAGAGGTGGGAAGTTTGGAGCAGAGGAGTATCACCATCTGAGCTACGTTGAAACAGGATCGCTGTGACTGCCAGGTTGAGAAGAGATCATGGGGGTTAAGGGCAGAAGTGGAGGGGCCGGTAGGGCCGTCCAGGCAGGACTCAAAAGCAGGTTTGTTGGGATGGGCCAGAGGAGGTATGGTGAATTCTGGAAATGCTGAGTGTAGACTAGATTTGAGAACTGCATGGGAACTGTTATTGGAGATTGAAATTCTATTTAATACAGTGTGATAAATCCTAGGTTGTATGTTGTAGCTGTAAGTGCAGACACTTAAACTGTGTGTAAGAACTCATTCGTTGACATGTGTCACCTGACTTATTCCTGTTGTGTTTGCAGTTTTTCTAACATTATAGTGCTTTCAATATGAAATCTTTAAACAGACATCTCTATGTTTGGAGTTTTTAAAAAGTACATCTTTGTTCTGTGTTAAATTTGTGGTCTTTGAGTCCATACTAAGAGTACTTTTTCTTTTGATCAAATTAAGTAAGAAAGGGCATTTTAACATACATACCCTCTTGTATGTCAGTTTTCTGTGGTTCTTGAGAATCTAGAACCTGAAGTTAGTGTCCAGGGAGAAGCCTCTTTCTGAGTTTCCTTCTACTACCACAAACATGAAAATGATCTGTAATGTTAGAGGAGAAAAGCAAGATGAGCTTTATTTTGTTTTAGCATTTCATCAGCTTCATGGTCTTGTCTTACTATGTCATCAATTCAGTAATTCAAGAATATTTCCTGAACTGACATTTTAGAATTTCACTACATCCTATCTCATTCCAGAGAAGGTTTAAGGCAGCTTATGAACCGGTCATAAAGTAGCTTGGAGAATGGTTTTCACTGCACAGCAACGTGGCCCTTCCGATGACCACACGTGTGCAGAGTGGCTCTCATTTGGGCCCCCACCAGCCACACTAAGCATCCCAGTAATTAGCGGCCACTTCCTGACCAGGGTGAGGTGTGGTATTTCACACATTCCATTCCATGCTTCAAATTTTGCATGTTCCCTACAGAAAATATGGAAAGGTGACTAGAAATCATATCACCTTGAAATACCTGATCTTTAAACATTTTGGTGCCTGTCTTTCTCTGTATTCATCTGGCATAGAAATCCATAGGTATGTATTTTGGGTATATACAGAAAAAATGATCAGTATGCAAACTTTAATAAACTTCTTGCAAGTGGTATATTCTGCATTTTTGCCTATTAAATAGTATTCTTTAACAATATTTTGAAAATATGAATACTTTTCTGTTTTGGGAGATATTCACTAAATTTCATCTTTCAGAATATTTAAGTTATCCCCAATATATTACTCTTGGAAACCACACTATAGTAAATGTTGTGGCTTCATTTTTATTTGTATGTATTTTCAGTTGAGGATATACCTAGCTATATTTCTATGTGCCAGGGGTATAAAGTTATTAGAAGTTGAAGACACTGGAGTTTATTTCACAGTTAAAGAAATTGAATAATTTGGGATGTAGAATGTCTACTAGATGTTGGGGGTAAGGCAAACGACGGTTAAGAGATTGGGCTAGAATGTGCTTATTAATAAGCACAATACCTGCCATGTAATAATAGCTGGGGTCATTGAACAGTGCTAAGTGGTAAGCACTTTATACTTGTATTAATTATTTTAATCTTTACTACAATTATATAAGGTGAGTACTGTTAGTAACGCTGTTACATTGATGAGAAAACTGAAGTTTTGAAAGGTTACGTTATCTGCCCAGAGTTACACAGCTAATGGCAAAGGCAGGGTTCAAACCTGAGTAGTCGGTTGCAGAGCGCATGCTATTACTGCCGCCCTGAACAGCCACAGTAAATGCTAGCTCAGCCTTTGAGTGTTCAGGACATGCTCATTCCCTGCACCGCTCTGTAAACCAGAGGTGGTTTTGGTTCCAGTATTTTTATTTTAGAAAGATAATCTAGTTCATATGCTCTGTTTTATAAAGGACTCCTGTTGGGGTTTTTGGAGCAGCACCTCAAAAGCAGACGCATTAGTGTTTCTATAGTGAAGCGTGTTTGTCTTTACACTAAATGACATTAAAAAACCAAAACCCAAAAAACTATAATTAGCCCAATGTCAGTACCTGCTGCCAAATGAATTGTGAAAACCATTTGGCTTTAGAATTGCAGGTGAGGGATTGTGGACCTGCATAAAACTCTTAGAAGAGTATCCAGCATTTAGAGCAAACTCATTTATGTGTTGCTGGGTAGTATTACCATTACTCCTACCAGTTATCATCAGATCCTTATATCCTCAAACACAGAGAACTGGTGAGACGTACAGCTAGGAGTACTCTTCTCACAAGGACCTAAGGAGAGGAAATCTTAAGTGTTAGAGTCTTTCAGCCATTCTTCCCTAAATCAGAATAAGGATGGCTTAAGCCATGTCTTTCCTGTCCTGAATGTAAGCGTGTTGAGTTCAGTGCTCCTGTCTGTCTGTTTGCACTCTCAACATATAATGTGAGTCTACAGAGCAGCTAAACTTGTGTTTCTAGCCTTTCAAAGAATTTGGCTCTTTATTACAGCCCCCATTATTTTCCCCCATCTTTTTTGGGATATAATTGGCATATAACATTGTGGAAGTTTAAGGTGTACCAAGTGATGATTTGATACTATATATATTATAAGATGATTACCACAGTATCACCTCACTTAATTAGTTTTTTTTTTTTAATTTGTGGTGAGAACATTTAAGATCTTTTCTCTTTGCAACTTTCAAGTATACAGTACAATACTGTTAACTATAGTCACCATGCTGTTTATCACGTCCCCAGAACATGTTCATCTTATCACTGGAACTTTGTACCCTTTGACCAACATCTCCCCCAGTCCCTGGCAAAGCTCGTTCTATTCTCTGTTTTTATGAGGTGGACTCTTAGATTCTACACATAAATGAGAAGATACAGTATTTGTTTTTCTATGTCTGACTTATTTCACTTAGCATAATACCCTCCAGGTTCATCCATATTGTCATAAAAACAGGATTCCCTTCTTTTTTTATGGTGGAATAATGTCCCATTGTATATGTGTGCCACATTTTCTTTGTTCATCTGTCGATGGACATTCAGGTTGTGTCTGTGTCATGGACAGCCCCCTTTCTTTAAGCACAAACCCATCGGGAGAACAATTTAACAGACCCATCATTTCCGCAGATATGACCAGAAATGACTGAAGACTAAAGTGATTGCACTTGAAATTGAGCTATTCTTCTTTTTTCCCCACCATTTTAACTGATAAAACTATAATGACAAATCATTATAACCATTTATGACAATTACCAAGAAATATTCTAGTTTATATAGTATTATACAGTTATTTTAATTATATGTCATATTACTTTTATTGCAATCTAATCCAAATATAAAAATTTATTAAATGCTCCTAACAGGCACATTTACCACTAAGATTTTAACATTTTCGACACGAGTTTAAACCTATTCTCTATCCTTAGCAATATCCCTTTGAACTATTTGAAGATGCGCTGTATTTAGTTTGTTCTCTCCTTCCGCATGTTAGGGTAGTACTTGTCTTCCTCTTCCCAGCCCCCAGGAACTGGAAACAAGCTTGGTCTCCCTTGCAATGCCTTCTCAGCCCTGCAGTGTCCCCAGTGAGCTGGAAGGGCCCTCTGAGGTTAGCTAGTCACACTGAAGCTGAGAGGTAGAAACAGCAATGGGATCAGTTTGTTGAGGCTTATTTATTTATATTTGACAGTTTTTGATCCATGACTAAAATACAAAATATATTTGTTCCTTTTAATGTTGGAAAGGGATGTGTGAAGTCTATAATTTGTCGAGCTGTTAGCCTTAATTGATCTTTAGGGGTGGTGTGTGTGTGTGTGTGTGTGTGTGTGTGTGTGTGTGTGTGCGTGTGAGTGAGAGAGAGAGAGAGAGAGATGGGGGTTGTCGTACAGTGGGTAAGAATATGTGGTGTGAAAAATAATACCATTTTCAGTTTATTTTATATTATTTGATTCCCACGAAACATTTGTTTTGGCAGCTGCCTTCCCTGTAGCATCGTGTTGGAATTTGGCACACGGTATTCACTAAGCTCTAGCTATTTCAGTGTTGTACGTTTTAGTCAATTTCCTAATGAGAGTAGATGTTGAGTTTAAATTCCAGGGTAGACAACTTGAAAAGGAGGATATAATATACAATCACTTGATATAGGGTTAAAAAATACATTTATTTATTTGGCACATATTGACTAATAGAACTTTTTCAACCGACAATATTATTTTATTTCGGATCTTAGAGTATGAACTGCATGGAAATCATTGATAATGTTGGTATTTATTTTCTTACAGAAAGGAAAAAGGAAAATGGATGACTGAAAAAAGTTTTATTTGTTATGTTATCATATATTAAAAGTTGTATTTCCTTTTCTAGGTTGCTGTAGTGAAACTAAAAAATGCAGATAAGGTATTTGCCATGAAAATATTGAACAAATGGGAAATGCTGAAAAGAGCTGAGGTAAGATTCTAATTACTGGAAAATTTAATGTTTCAGAAATAATTTTAGAGACCTATAAAATTGTAAAGCCAGTAGATCCTTAAATATCATTAACATCGTATCTGTGTGGCATTATTTTTAAGACCTAAGAGACAAGTTCCACAATGTACAATTTTGATATAGTGATGATAAAAGTTACAATTCGTAAAAAAAATTAAAAAGTCATAATTCGTGAGACTTAGTTCATATTGCTTGAAAACGAAATGTGGGGTTGTATATGTGAAAAAGAGGTGTGGAAACCAGTTTATTTTATAGGAAGAAATTTTGCAATAATGGATTTCCAACTTGATGTAACTCATTTATATTATTCTGTATTTATCTGTGTTCTGCTCAAAGTGGAATCAGCAGGACTTTTGAATGTGCCCTCTAAGAAGTCTCTTGATTGCTAATTATACAGTTAAATTTATGTTTTTTATATTATTAGAGGATGGTAGTAAAAGCTGCTCTTGCAAAAATTGCTAGGGTTTTTATGTTGATACGAGGGAAAGATTGGCTGGAGCAATGTTAAAAATATCTCATAGCTGGTATGGTCTGGTCAGAACCAATGTTACACATAGATTTGGGGGGATTCTAGGGGTCTCCTGCCGTGGGAGATCATGGTGAGTGGCCAGACGGGGGAGGGCCCTCGGGGACCTCAGTCTGGAAGTATTTCAGTATTTGAACTTCTAGGAGGATCAGACTGTTGCATAGGCTGAACTGTAGCTCTGGAGGTTAGTAAGATTTCTCTAATGAGAAATTAGTCCTTAGAAATCTTTCTTTATCCAGCAGTACTGGTAGCAACGTGAAAAAAACCCCGAACATACGGAGAAAAGCAAAAATGGTTCCCTTGATGATAGGGGTGGCAGTAGTAAGAAACTTCATTATTCATTTCTTTGGGGAAATTTGAAAAATGTAGCAAAACACAAAGACAAAACTTATAGTCATTTACATTCTGTCACCTAGAATCGATGACTAACATTTGGGGCACGTTTTTGCTTTTGGTTTTGTTTTCTATGTGTCTCCTGAAAAACACTGCACCAGTGAAGTGCAGATACATTATTTGTAAAACAAATAGTAGTACATTACAGATAAAGCTGAAGTCCTCTTTGACTGCCCCCCACCCAGTGCAGCCCCTCTCTGCCCCCCAGAGCTCATCTCCATGTAATAGTATTCTGTTGAGAAAAGTATGTGGAAACTTTTATGTCACTCTCTGCATATATGTGCCAGGGTCCTTTATATTCAGTAACTTCAATCTTTACTTTTGAATTTCCTTAAGGCTGACTTGCCTTCCTGTCATTGATTGGATTTTCCAGGTAGTCAACAGTGAGATTGAATTAGGGTCTTCTGAAATCACTGATGGAAGGGAAAGGGGGTGAGACATCATATTCAGGGGAAGTCAAACTGTCCAACAGGGAGCTGTGGAGCAGAAATGGTCCTTCGGAGCCCCACATGAGGCCCAAAGACTTACCTTTGCACCTGCGTCATTCAGTTACTGACCCCGGGCCACCTCCAGGTGCACCTCCCATGGCCTTGGGATCGTAGAGCTTCTGCAGCTGAGGCAGACCCTGAGGGGGCTGGCAGCATTGCCAGCACCTGGAGCAAGAAGTCTTATTAGTAAGAAAGAGTAAATAAGTCTTCTAATTGTTTCACAGAAATCATAATTGTAGTCAGGTTAGTGTTTCAGCATTAGAAGTTTTAAAAAACTGAGTTAAAGTTTCCACTCTTATCTGTGAAGTTAGTATGTTGGGGAGAATTGAAGAAAAAGGAAGGATCACTGGATTAGCTTTCATTACAGAAGTGGCAAAATTGAAGCTAAAACAAGGACTTGGAAATTAAATAAATTATTTTGTTGAATTAAAAAATATATTCTCTTTCTGGGGTAAAATGGAACAGATGTATTTCTTCTTATCCCTTCCATTAAGTACAGTTTTAAAGACTCGACATTATATATAAAACAAATTTAAGGAGATTCTAAAAGGCAGAGAGGAGGAGGTGGACCTTGGGGCCTGAGGAGCAACACTCATTCTGTGAAGCCTGTATTATTCTGATAGAAAAACCCAACAGGGACCATACAAAGAAAATTAAAGACCAAAGTGCCTCATGAACATAGATACAAACATCCTTATCAACATGTTAGCAAATAGAATTCAGCAATGTGTAAAAAGACTCGTGCATACAACATGACCGAATGGGTTTTACTTCAGGGATACAAGTCTGGTTCAGTAGGTGAAAGGAACTCTTCTCAAACTACTTGAATCTTACCTCTTTTAGGAAGGAATTCTACCTTGAAATTTTTGTAGAGAGATTCATTTTGAAGTAGAGTGGAGTTGTATTTCTATGCTTGAGTTATCAAGTCCTTTTTTAAACACACGTTAAAAAATAAAACCTCTATTCTGACCATGACTTATCCAGCTTTGGAAAACTGTGCCTACCAGTGATGCTTAATAACTTACAGATGAGCAGCAAAATGTCTCGAGTTTTAACCTGTGCATTGTTGATGCTTTAAACGCTTTTTCAAAGCTATACCTCCAACCTATTGGCTGTATTTATTTCCATGTAAGGTATATCATAAATATATAACTAGTGGGACGTGCATCATTGGAAGGTAGCAGGATACCCTCTGTCTTTCTGTACCTGGGCAGCTGAATATTTGCTAACTAACCTTATGGGTACAGAGGTCGCTGTTGCTGCCCGTTCATCATTCACAAACTCTGTTAGTGCATCAGCAGTCCCTTCCCTTCTCCTGATCTGTGACGGCATCTGAAGAAGCTGTATAACCTCCAGTAACCCCTCCTACATATTTATTACATTCTCATATACTCAGATGTTCTATTTTTAAAGGAGGATATTAAAAAATTGTTAGGTTTTTTTTTTTTTTTTTTTTGGTAGAAGTAGACCTTATAATAAGCCTTTATCCATGTGGAGTCCTTGATATAACTTCATGAACCTTGTGATTCGCATGCATCATGGTTTGGTTAATATCGATTTGGAACGGGGTTTCTCAGCAGTGGCACTTGTGACATTTGAGGCCAGATGATTCCTTGTGGGGGCTATCCTATGCACTGTAGGATGTGTAGCAGCCTCTTCCCAGTATATTGCCATTACCCCCTCACCCCCTAGTTGTGACAACTGAGGACAACATGACCTACTGAAGCAGAAAAGGACAGGGTGCTTTACATCTAAACTCAGTATCTGAGGCATTAATAGGGATAGTTGAATACCTAAATACTTACAGATAAAGTCGCATGATGTCTGGAATTTGCTTCAAAAAACCCCTGTGCGTGTGTGTATGTGCGCTTGTATACACGTGTGAGGAGGGAGGGTGGTGGTACGTGAAGGGTGTGGGACGGGGTTTGAGGGGGTGAGGGTGTAGACGAAACAAGACTGAATGATAATGTAGTTGTTGAGGTTGGTTGATGAGTATGTTGTGGGGAAGAGGGGGTTTTACTCCTCTCTTATATGTGTTTGAAGTTTTAGGTCATAGTTTATATTTTTTATTTTTTTAAATTTATTTTTTCACTGAAACAGTTTAGAATAGGTGGAATGTACTAAAGTTTAATCTTTTGACAAAATGTCTTTGGAGCTTTTTTGAGTTTGAAGTCCCTAATCAGATGTTTATTAGAATTTAGCTGGAGTGTCTGTGAGATTCCAGAAAGCTGTCATAATAAGATAAAGTCAGGAACAAAAAGTCTTTCTGGGCTCTGACCGTCTTTACCCCTCTCAGAACTGTTAGCGGCAAATGAGAATCGTGGGTCACTTAAATTCTAAAACACAACTTAGCAGTGAGTGTGTCAAGTGGTTTTCTTTTCCCTCAAAGGGAACCAAAGCATAATGTTGTGGATTTTAATAATCGAATCATCAGGTAAAATTGCCCATTGATTTGGTTTAAGCTTTAATTGTTTTTAAATTTTTCTCTGGTGCTATTTCATGCGTGACTTCAGAAGTTTTATTTGATCAAATAAAATTTATGGGAATACATGGAAAATCTCAGGAAACAAACTGAGGGTTGCTGGAGTGGTGGGGGGTAGGAGAGATGGGGTGACTGGGTATGTGCTATGGTGAGCCCTGTGAATTAAGACTGTTGAATGAATCACAGGCCTGTACCTCTGAAACAAATAACACATTATATGTTTAAAAAAAGAAAAGAAGATAGCAGGAAGGGAAAAATGAAGGGGGGGAAATCGGAGGGGGAGACGAACCAAGAGAGACTATGGACTCTGAGAAACAAACTGAGGGTTCTAGAGGGGAGGGGAGTGGGAGATGGGTTAGCCTGGTGATGGGTATTAAAGAGGGCACGTCCTGCATGGAGCAGTGGGTGTTATACGCAAACAATGAATCATGGAGCACTACATCAAAAACTAATGATGTAATGTATGGTGATTAACATAACATAATTAAAAAAATTAAGGTACCTGATTAGGGGATATTAATGTTAATTGTTTTGTATATCATGGCTGTTGAATTTATTTTATGGGGAAATAAGTAACTAAGCACGTCCTGTCGATAGAATACTGTGTGGTGATTTTTCAGTGTGCATGAATGTGGTGTAGCCATTAAGAAGAATTAGGTGGTAGGTGGGTCTCTACTGGTGTGGAAAAACTGTTCAGGTATATCATTACTTGAAAAAAAACAAACTTACGGAGCACTGTGATCTGATTTGCATAAAGAAAAGAAATGCTAGGGGAAATGGGGCACCCTGTGAATATTGTATGTGTGCACGTGCGTGCGCATATTCGTGCTTACAGAGACAAATTTTCTGAGAAGATACTCAACAGAGTTATTGGTGGTGACCTCTGGACACACGTGACTGTGTATGTATGGGGTATGACTTGGGAGACGTAGGTTTCACCTTACCTTTCAGTTCTTCTTGAACTTGCTGACATAGTGGAGATTTTTAAAATTAAAAGTTTAAAGATGATAGATTATAGAATTATAATGTATCATATAAAATTATTTTTTTTTAGCCACACATTTCTCAGGTTCGCAGGATGTACCTTTATAAGAGTGGAAATACGGTCTCAGAGTAAATTAAAACTTTCACAAATCAAAAAGAAAAAGACAATTCATTAGAGAAAATGGACAAAGGGAATGAACAGTTCAGAGACAAAGTTCAGATGTCCCGTAAGCCTGTGTAGAGCTGTTTATCTGCATGGGGAATTAGGAATATGTTCATGAAAAGAACAGTGAGGTACGGTTCTACACCCATCGTATTGACACACTTAAAAGTCTGATAATGCCAAATGCAGTTGAGGATGTGGGGGGGGGTGCAGTAAGGGAGATTTCTACACTGGGGTGAAGATAAGTAATCAGTACACATTTAGAGAAAATTGGCTATGTCTGGTAAAGTGGGAAATGCTTGTAGCTAGCATTTCAACTTCTAAGTATATACCCTGGAGAGACTCTTGTACATTTGTACCAGTATATTCATTGCAACGTCATAAAAACAAAATTGGAAGTAACCTATGTTTTCCTGGTTGGGGTTTGCATACATAAATTCTGGTATATTCAGACAAGCGAATGCCATAGCAATTGAAAGGAAAACACCCATCATTGAATAAGAAGTAATCAAGTTGCAGAAGGATAGATACAATTACAACATTCATGTAAACTTTTAAAATGCAAAACGGTTCTCTTGTTTTGGACACATACATGTGTGATCAAAGCATATGAAAGAAAGAACATAGTGTATACTACAGACTATTCATTTTATCAGGAGGGAGGCAGGGAAATGCAAGTAAATACAATTTACTTGTATTTTATTTCTTAAAAAGAACAGAAGTAGAGATGGCAAAATGTTAACCTTTATATTATCTAAATGGTAGGTTGGACCGTGGTCCTTAAATGCATGTGTGCTTTTTTTCTGTTTTTGTTTTTTGTTTTTTTTAACTATAGCAGTATTTTTTAATATAAAATGTTTTCAAGTGTACTATTCCCATTGTCCACTTCCTCCGCATGCTTGACTTGTTGAAAGACATATCAGGATGTATTCCTTTTCTAGGACAGGAAATATAATAAACATGTTCCTTTTCCAGGACAGGAAGTATAATAAACATTTTCCTTTTCTAGGACGGAAAGTATAATAAACACATTAAGCAGTTGTTTGCATAATATATTTTACATAAAGTGTCCTCTGATTAAAAAACATCTTTGTTTTTCCTTTTCAGACAGCATGTTTTCGTGAAGAAAGGGATGTATTAGTGAATGGAGATAATAAATGGATTACAACTCTGCATTATGCTTTCCAGGATGACAATAACTTAGTAAGAATCATTTTTCTATGTTTTTATATTCTTATTAAATTTTTATTGGCAGAATTTAGCATTATTCTCTTTTAAGCATTATGTAAATGTAGTTGTGATTTAGAAAACCACTGAATTTCACAGTATATAAATTGTGTTTTTATTACGTCTCCCCTGCCCTGGGTAATTTGATAGCTTTCCATTGGAATTTTTTGTGCTTTTTAATAACCAAGTCCAAACTGAATCCAAGCATTTAAATTCTGTAAGAAGTGCTCAGGATTTTTCTTTTCATGATTTTCCCAATATATTTTATTAGTAATAGTCTATTACTATTTGGAATTTTACGTATTTTTCAAAGTGGCTGTGTGCTGCTTGAAGTAGAGAGCCACATTTTTTTTTTTTTTGAGAGCCACATTTAAAATCGAGGCTGCATCTGATTTTATATGGACATCACGAACCACGTGATAGAAGAAGTGGGGAATGAGGTCAGAGGAAAATCAAAATATGAGAAGCACTGCTAATTGAAGATTGAAGGGATAAACAAGGGAACAGGAAGTGAAGGTGGAACCTGCCACTTCTGGGTTGGAGGCTCTTCATCTTCGGGCCTGAGTTTTCATTTTATGGTTTTTAGCATACGTGCTGTGGGCCAGACACAACACTGTGTACTGGGTTATAAAATTAATAAGATCGGGTCACCTGGGTGGCTCAGTCTGTTAAGCGTCTGCCTTCGGCTCAGGTTGTGATCCCAGGGTCCTGGGATCAAGTCCTGCATTGGGCTCCCTGCTCGGCGAGGAGCCTGCTTCTCCCTCTCCCTCTGCTACTCCCCGCTTCCACTCATGCTTTCTCTCTCTCAAATAAATAAAATCTTTAAAAAAATTAATGAGGGGCGCCTGGGTGGCTCAGATGGTTGGGCGTCTGCCTTTGGCTCGGGTCATGATCCCGGGGTCCTGGGATTGAGTCCCGCATCGGGCTCCCTGCTCCTTGGGAGCCTGTTCTCCCTCTGCTTCTCTCTGTCTCTCATGAATAAATAAATAAAATCTTTTTTTTTAAAGGTTTTATTTATTTATCTGACAGAGAGAGACACAGTGAGAGAGGGAACACAAGCAGGGGGAGTGGAAGAGGGAGAAGCAGGCCTCCCACCGAGCAGGGAGCGCGATGCGGGGCTTGATCCCAGGACCCTGGGACCACGACCCGAGCCGAAGGCAGACGCTTAATGACTGAGCCACCCAGGCGCCCCATAAATAAAATCTTTAAAAAAAAATTAATGAGATTTCTTATTCACGTGATAGATGTTTATTGAATATGTGCCATATGCGGGGCACTGTTCTCTAGATTCTGGAGATTCAGTAGTGAGAAAGACAAAGGATCTCTCTTACTGTTCCAGACAATAAGTCCAAAATCAAGTAGATAATATTTTCAGATTATTTCAGATGAAGAAAGTATAACATTTATTCAAAGGCATGAAGTCAATGAGGACTCTTCTAAGACAAATATAAATTAGCAAACCAAGAAGGGAGAAGAGGCAGAGAGGGCTTGGTAAGCCAAAGTGTGGAGATTAAAGCTTGTTATGTTCGCACTGATGGAGGGTGGAATAAGGGGCTTGGAGATGGGGGCGGAGAGATGAAAGAGTCACATCATATAGCACCTTACATGGTATGGTAAAGAAATTAGACTTTCACAGCCATGGCTCTCAAACAGTGGGGTTTTTGGGTCATGGAACTCTTGTGTATTTTTCAGAATGACTTTATATCTGCAAGCCCAGACAGTAAGGCATACAGAAATGGAATGGCCCTGACTGGTCTCTTAACTTCTTCCTTCTGCCTCCCCTCGGGATCACTCAGGTGTCCCTCACAGAGCAAAGTGTGAAAACGGCTGTTTTAGGACCGTGCAGAGTCTGTGGTGGGAGGGGACAAGAGGGGTGCTTGAGGGATGAGAGGAAGCCAGGGCGATCACAGCAGTGAAAGGGAGGGAGTACGGAACGGCACTTCCAGACTGTAGAGCACGCTGAGGAGCTAGGACCAGTTCTGAGTTTAGAAGGGCTTCAAATTCAAGGAAGAGTGTGGATGATTCTTAGTTTTCCAGCATCTGACTTGGGGGTGTTCAGTGCTTAGTGGTTGATGAATTGAGTTGGGAAATATATTTGGGAAGGGAAAATTTAGAACAGGGGCAAGGTGATGGGTTTAATTTAGTATGTGTTGGGTTTGAATTGTCGTGTGATCCACGGAGTGGGTTAGGTATCTAAGTCCGGTGCTCCTGAGGGTAAACAGCACCGTATAGCTTATGGAGTCCTTCTCTTATAGATCAGTTTTTGGCAAATTACTGCCTGCAGCACAAATTCGGCTCACCACCTATTTTTGTACAACCCACAAGCTAAGAGTTTTTAAATATTTGAAAAAAAATCAAAAGAATATTTTGTGACATGTGTAATATAAAATTCAGACTTCAGTGTCCATAAAGTTCTGTTGGAACGAAGCCATGCCTTTTGATTTGTTCATTTTCAGTGGCTGCTTTTGCACGATGATGACAGAGTCAGCCTCATGCGACAGCAGCTGGTCTCATGACCCAGGGGAACACCGCACGCGCATGTTACTCTTGATGCTGTGCATTGCTGTTTAGTGGCCTACAAATTTCAGTGACAGTTATAACTTGATAGCATTTCTGATGCCATATGTATTGCGATCCTGTGACACTTTATTATTCTTGTCATTAATAGTGCACGCGCGGACTTCCCATAGGCCGGCTCTGCAGGCACAGCGCAGTGGGGGTTATATTGTTAACAAGTTAGAGGCCAGCCTGGTGTGACTGTGCCGCCACACCACGGCGGGCCTGCTGGACCAGCTGGCGTCCATAAGGCCACGCCGAGTCCTCCTCACAGCCTTCCCAGCTCCCAGGAAGGCAGCAGTCAGGAAAGTCAAAAATACAAAACAGTATCTTATCAGCAGACCTTCTTCACAAAAATACAAAATGAGCCGTAGTGAGCTCCTGAGTGGCTCATTGTTAGGCAGGCAGGAAGGCCATTTACTAGCACTGCGTGAATTAAATCACAGTTGCTGCAGCCAAAGGAATGTGTTCACAGAAAATAAACTTGTCTCACACTATTAGCCTTTTGGTGAGGACGGTTGCTTCAAGAATGGGGGACGTTGGGAACATCATCGGTTGATTTTAAAACCAGGAAATGATTTTGAGTGGTTGCTTTTGACTCTTGAGATGAAAGAGGTCCTGATCTTTTGTTGTGACTTGAGGAGTTGTGCTGAGTTTGTGGTCCTGAGGAATCAGTCTTTACTGATAGCTTGTGTGGAATAATAGCCAATCGTATTTTCAGAGAAGTTGAGGAAACCCTAAGTTGCTACAACCTGCATTGGAATTTGCTAGTATGTATTACAAGTGAGAGTGGTAAAAATAGGTGTGGAGTAGGAAGAGGCTTAGTCGGACAGATTTACAAATTACGTAAAAATATTAGGTGCCCAGAGCCTGTGGATATGCATCGTCTTATTAATGAGCAGGCAGTTTGCAGCAAACACTTGAATCTTTCATTTGTTACTGAACCAGGAATATCACTGGTGAACTTCATTCAGTCTTAATGGAAATGACTGTTGCCATATCCGTGAATTTTTGTCAGAAAAAGCTGAATATCCTCACTTGCTCTACATTCAGCCATTCAGTGCTTTTGCAGTGTCAAGATTTTGTTACAGAGGGCCGAGATTGAAACATTTCTGAACAAAAAACCTCACCCTCAACCATTTATATAAAATATTGAATAGCTTTGAAATTAGCTTTTCCTGTAGACTTTCTATGTTTTAAAAATAAGTTTTACCTAAAATTATAAGACAAAACAGCACTTACATGCAAAACTTAACACTCCGGCGAAGTCATTTTGATAGCGTATATTGTTGGAATCACAAGTAATGTCAAGCTGCTTTATCTGATTCTCATGCCGTCAAAAGTAAAAAAGAAGTGAGATTTCTATTTCCACACGGATTTGCAACAGAGACACCATCTGAGCTCAAACTACAGTTAGCAGCAGTTTTTGGGATTTGATGCAAGTGCTAAGGAGATGTCCGTAGTTCAAAACCCGGTTACTGGCAATCACGACTTTCCACCTAACCTTTAGTTAGAAGTGATTAATCTGCAGTGTATCGACATGCTTGAACACAAATATCAGGAGAAAAATCCAGTAGCATTCTATAGACACATTCCATGTGAGTAATATGCTCAATCAAAATTATATGCTCACGAATTGATACCAGTAGCCGTTTTTGTGAAGACATTTTCACAGATGAAATACATAAACTCCCGGTATAGATCAGCACTTACAGAGGAACATTAGCCGGACTCTGATGATGGGGAACACTGACGTCACACCCCAATTAAGCAAATGGTCATCCCTTGCCCACAAAAAGAATTACACTTTTCTGTTAGTACACCTGTATTATAAAACTCGCACTCAATTATTTTATTTTGACTTTTGCCAGTAAAAATGTGTGGAAATTTGTTTTCTATCTTATTATCTATCTTGCTTTTTCTTCTTGGCCGGCCAAGCCTGAAGTGTTTACTATCTGGCCCTTTACAGGAAAAATTGGCCAGCTCCTCTTGTAGATAACAATGAATACTAGTAGTAAACAAGAATAACTGATGGGTGCTTGTACAGGGAGAAAAGTTTGCCTAAAGAAGCCAGACCTAGAGGACCCAACAAGGAGGAAACTAATGGAAACGGTCAGAGCAAGAAAGGGAGTCCAGGTTCTGCACCATTGAAGTGAATGAAAGAGGAGTCGTCGAGGAGGAGGGACACGGTTTCTCAGTCATGTTAGATAGATTAGAGTGGTTTTTTTAAAAAAAAAAAAAGATAAACTGGAAATATTGTGCCCACCCACAAATCCTATTTTTCAGCTTTAGTGGAATACCTCCATTCTTGGACATTGTACTCCTTTTTGCCTTTATTTCTGTTCTCCCTGGTACCTTTCATGCCAGTGCCTGTTCCTCTCCCTCTTGTCCTGTTGAAGTCCAGCTAATACTCCAAAATT